GGCGCCGGGGCTGCCCGCGGACGGCGGCCGCGACCGCGCGCTCGACGGCCGCGCGCTCGACGGCGTCCGGGCGCCGGACCGCGGCGTCCGCGAGCCGACGGACGCGCGCGACGCGTCGCGCGAGCCGACGGACGCGCGCGACGCGCGCGGCGCGCCGGCGGCGGCGGGGCTCCGCGCCGACGCCGCGGACGCCAGGGCGCGCCCGCCGCGGCGCGCCGCCGGCGCATTCGCGGTCTCGGCGGCCCGCCGCCGCGCCGCGAGGCTCCGGCTCTGCTCCCGGAGCTCGACGAGCTTCTTGCGCGCCGCGAGGTACTCCGGGTCCGTGAACGACGACATCTCGAGGTCGCTTCGCAGCCGCGCGAGCACGCGGCTCTCGTCGATCGACGCCGCCGCCGCGCGCGCGTCTCGTGCAGCTCGCGGGCAGCCTCTTCAATAACTCGCGCATTTAAAAGCGTTGAACACGGATTGAAGGAGCTTCTTGGGCAGCGATGGGCCTGCGATCCTGGGCAGCCATGGCTGCGACGCCGCTGCTCTCCGCTTCCGGAGGCGTGATTCCGAGCGAGTGGAAATCGACCCGCCGCGTCTACCACGTCAACGAGCGGAGCGCCGGTCCCGTCCCGCGCAACATGGACACGGCGGACCTGCGCGGCGACATGTACTTTGAGATGCACTCGCTCGTGCTCCCGCTCGAGTGCCAGCTGGCCTACCGCCCCTTCGAATGCGAGAACGCCGAGGTCGTGAGCCCGGACCTCGTCGTCAACGAGCTGGTCCTCGAGGTCGACGCGCGCTTCGGGCCCTACGGCCGGTGCAACGTCTGCGAGAACGGCACGGACCACCACGGCGACGACCACTGCGCGGACGGCTCCTACGTCTGCAACTGCGGCGACTCGGCGGCCCCCGAACCCTGCGGCGCGCGCGTCGGGTTCGCCAACCTCACGGAGGCGACGACGAAGTACTGCGCGTCCGGCGACCAGGACTGGCGCTGCTGGCAGGACACGGTCATCCAAAAGGTCGAGCCGGCGGCCTGGTACTCGACGACGGCCGCGGGCCACTGCGACGGCGCGCCGGGAGGTCCCTGCGCCTGGCGCGTCGCGAACGTGTCGAAGGTCGTGAACAAGACGTGCGCGGACGGCGTGCGCTTCGCCGCCGTCGAGGCGCTCGGCGCGGCCCACTTCGCCAACTGCTCGAGCGGCGCGGCGCGCAACGCGTCGTCCCACTGCTGGCTCGCGGCGTTCTTCGCGACCGTGCTCGGGCCGGGCTGCTCGGAGCCCGACTGCGTCGTCCGGGGCGCGCCGCTCGCGGACCTCGAAGCGGCGTGGGCGCGGCCCTTCCGGGACGTCGCCGCCGGCGGCTGCCCGGACCTCACAGGAGAGGGCTAGTTAAACATGTTCGGTCGTCCCGACGGCTCCGTGGCGATGGGGATCTGGTCGAAGTTGTCGGCCATGAGGAAGTCGTAGGCCGAGACGCCGACGACGCCGTCGACGGTAGTCGACAGCTTCAGCGTCACCTCCTTGCCCTTGGACATCTGGATGTCGGCGTAGTGCTCGTGCTCGTCGGACATCTCCGTGACGGCCTGGATGATCGCCGTCGCGGAGACGAAGGACTCGGCGACGATGCGCCGGCTCATGGACGTGCAGTCGTCGCTCAGGGTCCAGTTCGGCCAGTGGACGATGCACTCGCGGCACTGCTCCACGGTCATGAGGTCCCGCGACGCGATGGGCTCCTGCGGCTCCTCCGGCTCCTCCGGCGGCGCGGGCGACGGCGCGGGCGGCGCGGGCGGCGGCCGCGGCGCGGGCGGCGCCATCGGCGGCGGCGGCGCCATCATCGGCGCGTGCGGCGCCATCATCGGCGCGGGCGGCGCCATCATCGTTTGTGCGTGCGGCGCCATCATCGTCTGCGTGTGCGGCGCCATCATCGGTGCGTGCGGCGCCATCATCGGCGCGTGCGGTGCCATCATCGGTGCGTGCGGCGCCATCATCGGCGCCATCATCGGCGCGGGTGGCACCATCATCGGCGCGACCGGCGGCATCGGCGCGGCCGGCGGCATCGGAACGAGCGCCGGCGGAACGAGCGGCGCCGGCGGCTCCGCGCTCGACGTCGGCACGACGACGGCCGTCGCGGGCATCGGGGGCATCGTGGCGACGACGGCGGCCGCGGGCATCTCGGGCATGGCGACGTCGTCGGCGCGCAGGAAGGCGAACGTCTCGTCCACGGCGGCGTCGGACGTCGGTGCAGCTTCATGCGCGACCGGCGCATCCGGCGCGAGGCAGCCGAGGTCGCCGGTCAGCGGCGCCTCGCCATTCAGCGGCACCTCGAAGGCCGCCATGCGGCGCCTCTCGGCTGCCGACGCCGACTGTTTGGGCTGCCCAAGGCGGGCTGCCCGAGCTTGGCAGAGAGTTTCAAGCGCATGCCTGCAGTTGTAAACGCAAGCATTGGCTCCCATTGTGATTCGGAGTGGTTTCAAGCAATCACAGCCATAAATAGGGTGAGCCAGCGCGGGTCAAAGCTGCGGGTCAGGTGCCGTGCCGTATTTGTCGGAAAACCACACGAGTGTGGGCAATTATGCGAGCGACGTCACCATAATATTTGTGAATTGAAGAAGATACGATCACTCAATCTTGAAGCAGATGAAGCTGCCCAAAAAGCGCGTAGGCCAGCGCCCGCCGGCCATGTCCAGACGACCTTACGAGCTGGGTGAGAGCGAGCGCCCGGCGTTTCGACTCCACGAGCGCGCCTCCTTCGCGGCTCGGAGTCGGACCGCGCGCGAGCGACGCCACAACGCACAACGCACAGCCAGTCGACGTATCTTCTATAGTCACTTTGCGCGCCAGCCCCTCTCAGGCCTCGGCGGACGGCGCGTCGGGGGGGACGGCGTTCTCCTCGGACGCCTTGCGCTTCTTGGGGATCTTGGGCGACGCGGACGAGGGGACGGCGTTCGCCGGCGGCGGCACGGAGACGACGGTCGGCGCGGGCCGGGGCTTCTTGGCGAGCTTGTCGTCGTAGGCCTGCTTGTTCGACGCGGACTCGGCGTCCCACTTGCGCTCGAGGAGCTTGAGGCAGTCGTCGATGATCGTCGCGTGGTCCGCGCCCGCGGCGCCCGGCGGCCGGCTGAGGTACGCGTCGACGACGGCGCCCGCGGTGTCCTGGGCGTAGACGACGAAGGACGAGCGCTGGTCCAGGGCCGGCTCGGCCGCGGCCTTGTGCGCGCGCTTCCGCGACGGCGCGGCCGCGGGCATCTTCGTCTGCACGCGGACGGTCTCGCCGCGCTCCGCGCGCGCGAGGTCCTTCTTGCGCTGCGCGAGGAGCGCCTTGCCGCGCTTCTCGACGTCCTCGGCGAGGGACGCGGCCTGGGCCGCGGCGGCGAGGTCCGGGTCCAGCGCCCGGAGCTCCGCGAGGACGACGCCGCTCGGCCGCTCCGACGAGGCCTTCTTCGACTTGCGGTCGGCCTCGCCCCGCTCGCGGCGCTCGACCTCGGCGAGGATGGACTCGGCCTTCTTCGCGAGGTCGCCGGCGCGCTTCGCTAGATCGCCGGGCGACTGGCTCAGGAAGAAGCGGTCGAAGAGGAAGCGGTCCGACGCGCGCGCGGCCGCCGCGAGCGCGTGGCCGTCCGCGCCGGGCCCGCCGAGGGCGTGGGACGCGACGAGCAGGAAGCGGTCCTCCTCGCGGGAGAAGGGCCGGTCGTGGTCCTCCTTGAGCGCCTGGCCCTGCGTGTCCACGGGCAGCGTCTCGAGGAGGTTGCCGCCGCCGGCGCCGGGCGCGACGAGCCGGTCGAGCGCGGCCGCCGTCGCCGTGTTCTTCTCGAGCTCCTTCTCGCCGCGCTCGATGGACTTGAGCGCCTTCTGGTACTCGGCCTCGTCGATCTCGAGCGCGCCGCGCGCCCAGAAGGCCGCCGCGTAGCGCGCCACCTCGGCCGCGTCGACGCCGAGCGCCTCCGCGACGGCGCCGTGGTTCTCGCGGCCGAGGCGCGACACGCAGCGGTACCAGTCGCGGAAGCGCTGCTTGTTCCAGGCCGGGAAGCCCGCCGCGAGGAGCGCGGCCTTCTCCGCCTCGAGCTCTGGCCCGAGGACGCCCGCGTCGCACGCGGCCGCGTACGCGTCGCCGTCGTTGGCGACGTAGAGCGCGCGGTAGCGCTCCTCCTCGAGGGCGCCGAGTTCGCGGAGGCGGTCGCCGTCGCAGAACATGTGCGCGTCGAGCTTGGGCAACCGCCGCGCGGCCGGCACGACGTTGCGGCTCGGCTCGCCCTTGGGCTTGGGCTTGAAGGCGCGCTCGAGGGCCTGGACGTTGTAGAGGGACCGGGGCCGGTCGCGCTTCGCCAGGGCGTCGGCGTCGGCCTTGGCCGCGGCGATGAGGGCCTCCTCGTCCGTCTGCGTCCGGTTGCTCTTGTCGCTGTAGTCGACGCCCTCGAAGGTCTGCATGTTGCTGTCGCCGTCGAGCTTGAAGTCGAGCATGTCGCCCTGGTCCGCCTCGGCGAGCTTCTCGTCGAGGAGCGCCGTGCGCTCCGCGCCGCGCGCGATGATCGCGTCGATGTCGTCGTCCGTGACGTCGTTCGAGTCGCCGGACCGGAAGATCGCGGACGCGCCGAAGGTCACGGCCTCGAGCATCTCGTCCTTGGACGGGCCCTGGAGCTCCTTCTTCGCGTTGTTGAGGCGGCCCTGCTGGACGACCATCGCGTCGAGCTTGAGCTTCTTCTTCGCGCGCTCGACGATCTTCTCCTCGATCGTGTTCGCGGTCACGAGGCGGTAGACGTGGACGGGCTTCTTCTGGCCGATGCGGTGGGCCCGGTCCATGGCCTGCAGGTCCGCCTGGGGGTTCCAGTCCGAGTCGTAGAGCACGACCGTGTCCGCGGTCTGCAGGTTGATGCCGAGGCCGCCCGCGCGCGTCGACAGCAGGAAGACGAACTTGTCGCTGTTTGGCGCGTTGTAGGCCTCGATGAGGTCGTCGCGCTCCTCGTAGGACGTGTTGCCGTCGATGCGGCAGTACTCGTAGTCGCGCATGGCCATGAAGTCCTCGAGGACGTCGAGGAGCGCCGTCATCTGGCTGAAGACGAGGACGCGGTGGCCGCGGTCCTTGAGCTTCGCGAGGAGCTTGTCGAGGAGCACGAGCTTGCCGCAGTTGGCGACGACGTGGTCGCCGAGGGGGTCCAAGTTGCGGTCCTCGACGCCCTGGAAGAGGTACGGGTGGTTGCAGCACTTGCGGAGCTGCATGGCGATGTTCGCCATCTTCGCGCGCGACGCGCCGGCCCGGTCGCCGCCGGCCTCGGGCCCGGCGAGGAGCGACGCGTCGCGCTTGAGGAGCGACTTGTAGACCTGCTTCTGGGACACGCTGAGGCCCGTGAAGAGGATCGTCTCCGTCTTCGGCGGCAGCGACTTCTCGACGTCGACCTTGAGGCGCCGGAGCACGAAGGGCCGCAGGAGCTTGTGGAGCTGCGTGATCATGGTCTTCTTCGCGTCCTCGTCCTCGACGTCGAGGTCGAACCACTCGTCGAACTGGTCGCTCGACGCGAAGACGTCCGGCAGCAGGAAGTTGAGCAGCGCCCAGAGCTCGTGGAGGTTGTTCTGGAGGGGCGTGCCCGTGACGAGGAGGCGCCGCTCGGCGCGGAGGCTCCGGGCCGTGCGCGCGAAGAGGCTCGCCTCGTTCTTGATGCGGTGCGCCTCGTCGATGATGACGAAGCGCCACGACAGCTTCTCGAGCGCGCGCGCCTCCGCGTTGGCGACCTCGTAGGTCGTCACGCAGACGTCCCAGTCGCGCTCGCCGGGCGCGCAGCCGGGCTTGAGCACGTCCCGGACGAAGGCCTCGCGCTCGGGCTTGGACCCGTGGAAGCGGACGGCCTTGAGCATCTCCGGGCACCAGCGCGCGAACTCGTTCATCCAGTTGCCGAGCGTCGACTTGGGCACGAGCACGAGGTGCGGGCCCTTGACGCCCTTGGCCTCGGCGAGCCAGCCGAGGACGGAGATGGACTGGAGCGTCTTGCCCAAGCCCATCTCGTCCGCGAGGATGCCGTTCATGCCGTGCTCCTGGAGCCGGATCATCCAGTTGAGGCCCTCGAGCTGGTAGGGCCGCATCTTGCCCGCGATGCACGAGGGCTGGGCCAGGAGCCGCGTCTCGGACACGGACTCGCGCCGCGCGGCCGCGTCGTCGTCGTCGTCGTCGCCCGCCGAGTCGACGCGCGCGCGGCGCTTCGACGGGCTCTTGGGCGTCCGGGGGCTCGCGGCGGCGCCGCCGTCGCGGCCCCGGCTCGCGGCCTTGGCCGCGGCCGTGACGCCGGACCCGAAGTGGCCGAAGATGTCGCTCTGCGACAGCAGGTACTTGAGCCGCGCCTGCGCGGCCTCGGCCATGCGCTCCCGGAGCGCCTCGCGCTCCTCCTCAATGTTCTCCTCGCGCTGCTCGCGCTCCGCGCGGTCCGCGGCGATCTGCTTCTTCCGCGCCGCGCTCATCTCGACCTTCTTCCGCGGCTTCGCGGCCTTCTCCTCGAGCGACCGCTTGCAGCCGCGCGGGCCCGTCGCGTCGCCGTCGCGCTGCGCGCGCTTCGCCTCCTGCTCCGCGGCGGCGGCCGCGTCGGCCTCGTCGGACTCGCGCTCGAAGCGCGCGCGGTCCTGCTCGGCGAGCTTGTCGAACTTCTTCTTGCCGCCGGCGTCGAGCGCCTTCCACGCGGCGCTGATCTCCTTCATGCGGTCGCCCATGGGCTTCGACTTGTCGTTCGCCGAGTACCACTCGTGGCGCGACTTCGTGAAGAAGCCGTAGGCCGACTTGGCGGGCGCGGGCTTCGAAGCCATGACTGCTTGTGGTGTGCTCGGCGGCGCTCTGCCGCGGCGCGGGGCGCGGCTCAGCGGCTCCGCCCGCTTGAGGGCGTTTTTCCGGCCGTCGCGAGCGCCTCCGGGGCGCGCGCGGGGTCCTGGGGTGAGCGCGCGGCGAGGGTGGAGGCGGCGTCGGGCCTCGACGACCTGATGATGTCTCGAGTTTGAATCGGAGATGCCGGACGGGACAAATGATCCGCGCCGGGGGTGGGGCCAACCTCGCAGCGCGCCGGGATGGGTCGCGCTCTGCGGCGCGTGCCGCTCTACAACTCCGGGCGACACGGTGTAGTTTACGAGTCGGCTATGCTATCACTCCACTCGCCGGTGGCCTCGAGGCGGAGAACGTGGTCGGCAAAATCGGACGCGGATTCCCGGGGGATGTGGATCTCGCACAAGTTGTTCTGTGGCCATGCAGCTTCGTCGAGCACGGCAACAGCGTTCCAGGGTGCGCAGATGGTGCCAAAGAGATCGAAGGACATGATGTGGAAACACTGTTGGTCTCGGTGATTCACGATGCGGAAACAGTTTGACTCGAAAGGATCGAAGACCTGAAACCAGAGAGGGTCGTGTGAGATCTCAGAGTCATTTGAAAACGGAGAAACATCAGGAGAAAACATAGTCCGCCAGCCTGATGCAGCGAGCGAGTCTCGGGCCTCTAAAGACCAATCAAGGAACTTTGGCCTACTGCAAGTGCCAAAGCCAAGCGCAAAGCCGCTGCAACAAAGGGTCAACTTCCCAATAAGGCGTCCGCTAGCACGTAAAGACGTCCCCGGGCGAATCCTACGTCCGCGGAGGGTTCCTAGACGCCGATTTTTGGTACGGTACCGGTTTTGGGCTTCGGGCGGCGCCCCATGCCCGAATCGACCACCGTACTTTTTTTTTACCCCCGGCGACAGTCTGCGGACGAAAAATACCACAGCGGAGAGAGCATGGCGCTACCATCTCAGCGCGCTGCGCGCGGTGGACTTGCTGCGCTGCGTGCCTGACCTCACACCCATTCGCGAGGGTCGTTTCTGCGCTCTGGCCAGCGACGAAGTCGAAATTTTCTCCCGCGCGGCGCGCGGGGCGGGTGCGGCGACTCTGTGGCAGCGGCCTCTCGGGCGGCGGCAGCGGCGGCTGCGCGGAGCAGGCTCGTTCTCTGGCGAGGGCGCGACCTCCTGCACGCCGCGCGTGAGCGGCACGTGCAGCTGCGCCGGTTCTGGACCGCTACGCGCACTGGATCCCGCCGAATTTTTCCTCCCGCGCTTCGCGCGGCAAGGAGGCGCTCGAGACCAAAACCGGTGCCTGGGCGCTGCGCGGCTTCATGGAGGTGGTCTAGAACATGTTCGAGGACGCCATGGACTTGGTCTCCGCTATAATCTCCACGCGCGCGCGCGACGACGACGACGACGACGACGACGACGACGACCGGCCGGCCGGCCGGCCGACCGACCGGCCGGGGCCGGGGCCGACGGCGCAAATGGCGTCCGTCGACGCCTCCGGCTTCGGCCCTGCGTCCCCGGGGTAAGACTAGGCGCCCCCGGCGTCGTAGCGACCGTAAATGCACTTTTCCCGATTAACGACGGGTCTGCCTCGCTTATTGGGAAGTTGACCCCAAAGAGAGAAGGGCAGCTCGTATTCGGCGTAACTCTGCGAATTAGCTGCACAGTCGGAGATCAAGGTAGCAGCTTCTCCTTCCCCCGCAACGAGGTTATGGTCAAAATGTGAGGGACTCTCATCATCATTAAATACCTCTCCTCGTAGAGTGCTGCGAAGGAATGCATCACTGCTTTCTGTACCACCACTCTTCCGATTTATCCAGGTGACGCGCAACTGCGGCGGCGGAAGACGATGGCCGGGAAGCCGACGCAAGCTCGTCTCTGTCGCTTCCGGCCACGCGGTCGTTCCGAACTTTGTGGCGAGGGCGCGAACGACGCCGCCGCGTAGCAGCGAGTACGGCGCCGCGCCACGTGCCGCGAGCAGCAGGCGCGATCTCCTTAGCCCGAGTAGGCGCTTGGAGCAGGCGCCGAGCGTCGTCGCAGCCTCGGCGAATGAGAGGTTCGCAAGCACCAAGACCAGCGGGCCATCTGGCAGTGCGCGGAGAAGCGAAGGCGGTCCACGCCACGGTCGCGTCGCGTTCGCGCCGCCGAAGCGCTGCAACACGCGTTGCGAAGCGTCAGCATGTCCAGCGCTTCGGAGGAAGTCTGCTACAACATCGATCGTTGCCGCGTCGACCTCCATCGGCGGCTCGCAGATCTTGAACCTGCACTATCCCTTCACCTTGAACTCCCTTTTCGATCGTAGAACCTCTTAGAGCGGCGGAAGCCCGCGACTGTTCTTCTTGAGATCGCGGAGGGAGCGGGGCACGTATCCAGCGGCGAGCGCCTTGGCGGGCTCGGGCTTGGCCGTCGGCGGCGGCCCGGGGTCCGCGGCCGCGGGTGCGTCGTTTGTCTGCTTCGGCGGTGGCGAGAAGGTGCCCATGGGCGGCGGCCGGTGGACCGCGGGTGGCGGCACGACGCGTGGCGACGCGGGTTTTGCCGGCGCGGGCGCGGGGGCCGGCCGCGCCTTCGGCGCCGCCTTGGGAGTCTTCGCCACCTTGGGCGTCTTCGCCACCTCCGGCGGCGGCGGCCGGAGGTCGCGCTCGATGACGACGAGGCGGTCGGTCTCCTCGTAGGCGTGGAGGTCGCCGTCGGCCTGGCCGATGATCGTGTGGTTGTTCTTGGCCGTGAGGATCGCGATGCAGATCTGGCGGTAGCGCCCCGGCTCGGGGTCGCCGCGGCGGCCGAGGACGACGCGCTGCTGGACGACGCCCCAGCGCAGCGGCGCGCCCAGGGGCACGTAGAGCCCCGCGGGGCGCAGGCTCAGCGTCGCGCCGACGCCGCTGTCGAAGATCTCCGCGATGGCCGGGTACACCGCCGGGTACGCCAGGGTCAGCGCGAGCGCGCGCGCGTAGATGGCCTGCGTGTTCACGAAGTCCGGCGGCTCGTCGACGTGCTCCTTCGTCCGCGGGCCCAGCGCGAGCATGGCCGTCTCGTCGATGTTGTTCTCGCCGATGATGTGCATGTGCGTCCGCCACCACGGCGACTTGTAGTGCAGATGGCGCAGGAGGAGCAGGATGTCCAGGATGCGCGTGTCCGCGTGCTGCGCGGAGAGCTCCTTGCCCGCGGCCTTGGACTGGCCGCCCAACACGATGGCCGTGTGGAAGCACGTCGCCTCGACGATGGGGCCCAACAAACTCTCCTCCGCGGCGTCGCCGCAGACCTGCCGCAGCTCGATGCCGCCGCGCGCGTTCCACGCGTCCGGGCCCGTGCGCTCGTAGCCGCAGTGGTCCGTGAAGAGCTCGTCGAACTGGTCGTCGGGCAGCGTGTTCACGAAGGTGATCGACGACCCCGGGCCGAGGCCCTCGAGGATCTGCGAGATCCGGTTCTTCAGACGCTGGTGCTCGACGGTCCAGATCTGGCGCCAGCCGCAGATGAGCACGTTCGCCGTGTGCTTCGGCGGGCTCACGGCGTAGGCCGGCGTCAGGCCCCGCGCCTCGTCGATGTCCCGCCGCGCCTCGGCCTCGCAGGACGCGGACCGCCGCGGCGTCGCCGTCTTGGCGACGAAGATGATCAGGTCGCCGTCGCGGATCACGTAGTCGAGGTCCGGGCAGAGGCCCAGGCCCTCGGGGACGACGTCGCCGGGGCAGTAGCCGTGCATGACGCCGATGACCGTGCCGTGGTCGATGAGGTCCTGGGCCGCGCGCACCGTCAAACCGACGACGCCGCCGCAGAAGTACTTCGCGCGCCGCCGCCGGAAGCTGTCGCCGTCCGCATCCAGCAAATTCATGAGCACGTCCGCGAGGCCCCGCTGCGCCGCGCAGGCGAAGATCAACGAATTCATGAAGAGCGACAGGTCCAGCGGGCGAATCAACCGCCGGCCGTGGTCGTTGCAGAACGACGCTGCGGCGATGTGGGAGCTCGGCCGGCCGAGCTGGACGACGACGTTGCGCGTCGGGCTGTCGTTGGCCGACGTGAAGAGGACGTGGCGCAGGGCGAGCAACGTCCGCAGCGTCGCGCCGTTCTCGATCTTGCCGTCGGACGCCTCGCGCTCCTCCGTGTCCTGCTCCGTCATCATGATCATGATGGACTCGGCCGTGTCCGCGGACACGCGCATCAGGTCCTGGATGCTCGTCGCGTCGCCCACGCGCACGATGACGTCGCGCCCCATGGCCGTGTGCTCGGGCCGGATGCCCCGCGCGGACATGCCCGTGCGGATCTCGTCCTCCAATTCCCGCTTCTCCATCGTGTTCGACATGACCACGATGGACGCCGTCGCCAGCGGCGTCGACGGCGGCACGCGCGTCCACCACAGCAGCATGTTCCAGACGCCGCCGTTCGCCTCGATGTACTGGCGCCGCATGTGCGCGACCTGGCTCACGAGCCGGGGCGTCGCCTCGTTCGTTCCCAAAACGAGCGTGTGGCCGTAGGTGACGACCTTCGTGCGGCCCTCGCCCAGACTGTCCATGAACGACGTCACGGAGTCGGTGATGAAGCCGACGAGGATGGCGAAGACGACGAGGCCGCAGAGGAGCGCCGCGAAATAGACGACCCTCAAGATCGTCATGTCGGGGATGGAGTCGTCGATGCCCGCGGCCGCGAGGATCTGGAGCGACGCCCACA